CGCGCTGCGGGTCTGGGAGAGGTGTTCCAGCTTCCGTCACCTACGGGAGGGGTTAACTGGGTCTGGGGTCTCGTTCAGGCTCGCTGCGGTGTGTGCGTTCTCCCCGCCGTGGCCTGGGTTCTTCCCGGTTTGCTGCGCTGGCGCTGCTGGGCTGAGTTAAAAGTAGTGTGTAGTTGGCTAAATAGCTTCTAAGTAGAGTGAAAACGTGATCGTCTCGTAGTGCAGTGCAAAAAACCCTGATGTGTCTGTTCGCTTTGCAGCTATGGAGCCAAAATTCGTGCCCCACACGCCCTGGTGATGACTTTCCTGTTCAAAAGTGGAAGGTACAAACGCTAATTCTTTTTTTCTGTGGCACTGTTTAGAATGTTTTCGTTCAAACTGTCCATTTTTCATGTTTTTAGTGAGTTTAAAAATCAAGGAGATACCTGAGCTATGATTGACCTTGTTCTCATAGTGAAACATATAAATATATGGATTTGAGGGGGTTAATTGCTCATGGATGGTTGGTGAGAACCAGAGGGCAGAGGAGGAATTGGCAGATGTCAAGAGCAGTGCTGTGCTCTATGCTCAAATGAGAAGCCAAACTATAGCAGTGCACATTGTGGCTTTGCCTCTTATGCCAGAGGTTTGTATTTAGGCAAAATGATGTACAGAAAGGCTGTTTGACTAGTCAGTGAGACAGAGGCACTGCAGTCTGGGTAGAGAGGGTGAGCTGCAGGCGAGGGGCTCTCCCCTCCCTCACAAGGCTTTCAGTGGAGTATCAGTGTAGCTAGGGGGGCAGTGACCAGGCTGGCTCCTGCCTGTGCCTTTCCCTAACTGTCTGCATTTTTACCCTTTAGTTTCAGAGAGAAGCTGAAGTCGATTGCTCAGGCCACCTACACCCACTCCCGGAACTTGGCCTATTTCGTGTTCACCTACAAGGGGCTGATGGCAATGCAGTCCTGGCTGCAGGGCAAGAAAATCCCCTTTCATTCCTTCTTTGCAGCCTGCATTGGGGGTTGGCTGGTGTTTGGTGAGAACAATCCCATCAACAGCCAGGTAAATGCACTTGCTGAGAGTTTGACTTGGAAAGACAAGAGGCAGTGCCAGGAGGTGTTTGGAGCCTGGCTTAGTTCTGGGGGTTCTGAACATGTAGGTTTGCTCTTTTACCATATTTCTCTTTGCACAAGGTCTTGTTTTGGTTGCTCTGCACTCAAATTCTAGAGTTGGGTGTGTGCAGCTGGAGTGCCAGAAGCCCAGATTTACCTCCAGAGCTGCACTGCATTCTTAGGAGGGCACTCAGGCAATCCCCACAGGATTATCCCACCTGTCACCTGAGCTGTGGTCACTGGCTGTGCTCCTGGTCTGCCCATCGAAGGGTTAAATCTTTTCATGGAGTGTTGTGAGTGTAGAACATAGTTACTGAGCTGCACTGAACTGGGTAAACTGACAACTAAATTGGTTAAACTGGCAGAGAATTGGACTTCGATGATCATTGTGGGTCTCTTCCAACTCAGAATATTCTATGACAACTAAACTGGTTAAACTGACAAGGAACTGGACCTCGATGGTCCTTGTGGGTCCCTTCCAGCTCAGTACATTCTGTGACTACTAAACTGGTTAAACTGACAAAAGCTGCTCAGGGGATGTTTGATTTCAAGCTGGTTGTTAACACATAGTCACAGATAAGTGAGTAAAACACAGAGATGCAGATTAATCCAGAGTGTTCTACTTGTGCTAGACCTTCAGTTCAGGCTTAGGCTGTGTCCAGACTCCTGAGCTCAAATCTGCTTGGCAGGTGAGCAGTGCTGCTCTGGGACTGTTCTATCAGCTCAACAGGACAAAGACAGAAGTTGTGAAACTGCAGAGATGTGTTGCATGAAGCAGAACTTGTTGATTACTAAATCAGAGCAGCAGCAAAGTAGGACTTTGAAGACATGAACATTTGTGGTTATACAGATTGGTGCAGCCTGTTGGCTTTGAAGTCAAGTAGATTGTCCCCGGCCCTCCTGGCTGGATTATCACTTCTAAATCACTTAACCTGGTTGGTGTCTCTGCTCAGGTTATTTACCCAGTGCTCTCTGGGTTTCTCTTGGTGCAGATCATTATGTACCTGCTGTCCCGGATCCTGTTCGGCTTGTCTCGGCTGGCCGTGGAGAAGGGATACATCCCACAGCCCAAGCAGGATCCCTTCCCACTCGTGGCTGCTCTGGTGTGGGGGACAGTTCTGTGGCTCTTTGAATACCACAGAGAGACTCTGCAGCCCTCCCTGCAGTCCTCCATGACTTACCTGTATGACGACAGTGAGGTGTGGCACGACATGTCCGACTTCCTCATCTACAACAAAAGGACAGACAGCAAGTAGGTGCCTCACTAAAACACCTTTGGATGGGATTTCTGTTTCCCAGCAGCTGAGGGCAAAGGTTATTCTGTAACCTCTGACTGTTGATTGTTTTAAATTAACACCTGTCAAGCAGAGCTGCCTCTTATATCCCAGCCAAAATGCTCTGATTCTCTTTTGGCTCTGTTTAGAGCAAGTAAACACCCCACAAGAACTCATTGCAGGTGCCTCACTAAAACACCTTTGGATGGGATTTCTGTTTCCCAGCAGCTGAGGGCAAAGGTTATTCTGTAACCTCTGACTGTTGATTGTTTTAAATTAACACCTGTCAAGCAGAGCTGCCTCTTATATCCCAGCCAAAATGCTCTGATTCTCTTTTGGCTCTGTTTAGAGCAAGTAAACACCCCACAAGAACTCATTGCAGTTAGAGGCCTTATCCTACAAGTATGGATTTTGGGGTATTGTTTTTTAAGAAACTAAATATCTTAGGAAATGACAGCCTGACAGCAAGTGGAGAGTAGGAAGACATGTTTTAGGGCTCATCTGGGTGCTCACAAGACAAGTGTTTCTCTGTGCTGCTGTGCTCAGCGTGGCGTGGGAGTGGTGGAGGGAACGGGGGACATCGTTTCTTGATGGCTGTGGGTGACTGGAAATCCTGTTTAAACCATTACAAGGACAGCTGTGTGCTCCTTAAGTGAGTTTCTCTGGAGTTTTCCCTCAGGGAGGCAGTTAAATGGTTGAGAGTAAAGCTGTTAAGGCTGTCTGGTACAAGCCTGGTAAATCAGGCTTGGAAGGACTATTTTTACTCGGTTTTTCATGCACTTGGGCTGAACCTGTGTCTCTGCAAAGTGCACTAATTAATACCCTGTGATTATTTTACATGTATTTGTAAAGTTTTTTAAAAGCTGCTTGACCTAAATCCCAGCAAGAGTTACACAACTTGTGCTGCTCTGCAGACAGGCCAAGGTGTGTCAGGTGCCCTCAGGGCTCACACCAAGGACTTCCTGTGGGCAACACTTGGAACAAGCACTTTCATTTGGATGGAAGATACACATGGGCTTCTCCTAGGTCCAGAATCTGCTCTCCACAGCAGTGGCATGTGTTGGCTGTAATCAGATTCCAATGCACCTGTGCTTTGTGTAGGCTTAGTGCTGAGCTAGGTTGAGGCCATGGGTGAAGGTGTGAGTGAATCTTCCTCTTTAAAACACACTGCTGAGCTCCAGGGGAGTGCAGCACACACTGGGCTGTAGCAGAAGATTGACTAGCTAGCTGAGAAAGCACAAAAACGGTTTTAAAATTAGTAAATTCAAAGTGTTGATAGTGCAAAGCACTTTCACTGCCATAGAACACTATGCAATTCACTTGATATACGTTAAAATCATTCCTGGCACATTGGTTCCATGAGATATTTTCAAGAGAGTCATTATGTTCCTGTTCCCTTTTGGCTCTGTCAAGACTATTTGTTCATTCTCCCTGTATCCATCTTCTTTTTCTGGCCTGCTCATGGCATTGCATAATCCTTCTGATACTCTTTTGATCATCTTTTGAACTCTTTACCCTCCAGGCTTAAGCACTTTGTCCTATTTAATGGTAGAACTGAAACAGTATATTTAAGTTCAGGTAGCTTCTGAGTAGTGAAAAATTCCCAGTTTATTCCCAAGTCATTGCTCCTTGTCTTCGTCAACTCATTTATTACCATTACAAATATCCAGAGTGCTGCTTTGCTCTTTATTTTTCCACTCTCTGTGTCAGGTAGAGGGAAAGGGAAATGCTCCCCTCCCATAGTCTGGTGCTGTGATTGATTTGCATCCCGAGTGGCTCAGGTGGAGTAGGAATAGTCTTGAACTAAATCTAAAGCCAAGTCCAGTTACATGCACTGTGAGCTCTTGCAGTGTAGGGATGGAAGCTGCTTTGAGCTCATGCCATGCAAATCCATGAAGTACTCATGATTAGTGCCCAAAACCAAGCTACTTTGCCATAATAACTGTCTGTGGTACCTTTACCTTTTCATTTCACCTGCTGTTAGCCTGAACTGAACACTGCAGTTGAAACATCCTTTAATCAGGAAAGCTATAAAAGTTAAGGTTTGGGTTTGTTTCCTCGTAGTTAAGTGTTTTTCTCAGTGTAGATAAAAGCTTAAAGATTCTAGTGGAGAAAAACTACTGAAGCTACAGGTGAGATCTGATTCCTTTATAAACATCTTTATTTGCATCACTGGCTGTCTGAAGCATCATGATTTTTTCTGTCAGAAGCCTCAACGTTGTTGCAAACAAGAACATTTGCATTCTGCTAATAACTCTTGTACTCCTCCAAGCTCTGCTGTGAGCTGATATTGGTGAATTCCTCCAAGGTTTGCTGGGATTTCAGACAACCCTTCCCCAGTCTGACAGCTGTGGCTTGAGAATTTCTCCCTGAAACTATTAGACTCACAGATTCTTGTCATTATTGCAGCAAAAGCTGGTGCAGGCTGGTTTTGGGAGCTGGGTCTGTGGGAAGGGTTTAATCTTTGTCATTTATGGCTGATGCTTCTTGTAGAAAATACATCCCACCTGTGATGCCCTTAGAAGTGAAACCATGTTCTGCTGGGAATTGTACCATTGCAGCTGGGTGGCTGCTGGTGAAGCATTTCTGTGACCACATGAAGGGCAAGTACCCTGTCCTTTTTGCAGTGTAGTGTCTCTAGATGGTTGTCTGGTGTCTCCCAATGTCTAGGATCAGCCTGGCAGTTGTTCTTTCTTTAAAGCACCCTTTTTCTCTTGGGAATCTCTCCCCAACCTTACTCTCCAACCAAACCCGTGCCTGAGCCTCCAACCATCTGTAGCTGTGCTCCAGGAAGCAGCTGCCATGCCTGCAAGAGAAGCTGCAGCTCATCCCTGGAGCAGCCCCTGCCCAGCAGAGCCATTAGCAGGTGTTTCCTGACGGTTGGTTTTCCTGCTGTGGCGGGGCAGGACGTTAAGCTGCAAGTCACTCCTTTCCCCAGGGAAGTAATTGGAACAGACCTTTAATGACATCAGCCCCCGTTGCTGTTTCTGGGACCAGATAGCTGGGGATGAAGCCCTTCTGCCACCAAGGTGTCAGAACAATGCAGGAGTGTAGTAGGGAAGTGAACTAGAAGTAATATGTCTGAGTCAGACTTTTGGGATAGTAAGTTACACTCCCTGCCCTCCCCCAGGGCATTGTGTGGGGAATTGAGTGCCCTGTTTGGGTTCCTTTTTCAGTAGCATTAAACCCAGAAGAAATAAAGAGACAGTTGGAAGCCACCTGCGAATCAGCCAAGGGCTTAAGAGTCACAAAGAAGTGCCATTTTCTACACCCACCCCCCCCCGCCCCCGCCCTAACTGGCTTTGAATTTTAAGATGAAGATGAGTTTGTTTGTCTACAGCAACTTTATCTTCTCCTTGTTATTTCTTCTCTGACACCTGACTGATGCTGAGTGTCTCTGAAGAGGAGCAGAGTGGCTCAAATCAGGATATAAACCACTATGTTTTGACAGTATAAGATACTGGATAAAAATCAAAGTGTTTCAAATGCTGCTTCTCCTTCAGATTTTAAGCCTCTTTTAGAGGCAGTTTTAAAGGTTAATGAATCAAACTGATCAAAAGTTTTCAGCAAGGCTATCCTAGGCTATTAATCATTTATTTTCTGAAGGAACAAAGCAGGCTCAGGGTTATTTACTGCTGCTGCCCTGGCATACCCACTGTGCTTCCCTTCCCTTTGGAGGACACCTTGTGTGCTGGTTCTGGCTCCCAGAATGGCTGGAGAACCATTTCCTGGACAAGTACATTATTTAACAAAGGTGAACATTCAATGGGTGCCTGACATTTGGGTTTGTAAGGTTTGCTGTGCTGGTTTCATCCTGGCAGTCAAAGGGAGGAGATTCCCAAAAGAAAAAGCTGTACTTGTCCAGTTAGTGCCATAGGGAAGTGCTCAAGGAGGTTGTGGCTGCTGAAAAGTGTGAACCTGTGTCCTGGCCACTGTGTCTGGGCAATAACCAGGTTACTGTCCCTGTCCAGGACATTTATTGTAGATTCATGGATTGTGTGGGTTGGAAATACCTTAAATATCATCTAGTCCAACCCCCTAGGCAGAGACACCTTCCACTAGCCCAGGTTGCTCCAAACCCCATTCAGCCTGGCCTGGAACACTCCCAGGGATGGAGCAGCCACAGTTCTCTGGGGAGACTGAGAGGTCTGAGTGGAGAGGCTGCAGAAAAGCCTTGGCATCAGTGCTGTGAGACTTTCTTGCCCTGGTAGAGTAGGTCACACTCTGATTTAAACTGACCTGGGAGGGGGTAGATGCACAGAGATGTTCTCTAGTTTGTCAAACAACCCCAAATCAGGTGTCCATGGGGACCCCTATGCCTGCAGAGTGTTCCCTGTGCACAGTGAGCTCTGCAGCTGGCTGGGAGCTGTCATGGATTGCTGGTGGAGTAACCAGAACCCTGTGCAGATACCCTCACACAGGAGAAACTACTGGGACTCAACTCTTTTTCGCTGCATCAGCACAAGTGTGACCTTTGGATAATACCCTGAGCCATGTGCTGCTTCCTATTTGTCAGGTTGTGTTTGGCCTCCTGGATCATGCCAACCTGGGCAGAATGTGTTTTCTGATGCTGGTTTTGAAACCCAGCAGATAAGGGAGGAGGGGAAATAAGGTGTAATGTCTGTCTGTCACTGTTAATGTTTTTGGGCTGCTAATCTTCAATTTTCAACCCATGTGCTCACGGCAGATTGTTGGAGGAGGTAACTTTTTTCTTTACTTAGAAGAATTTTCATCTCTCTGACTGGTAATAAGAAAAATTAAGAGTTCTATAATACAAGTTTTATTGCCTCTGCTTTTGATAGATATTTTGAGTCCATAATTGCTGTGTAATCCAGGCACTGATTTTCTGACAGCATAGGATAAAGTTCAGAACATAAACTCAGGTAACTTGTATTACACTGATCAGAATGCTTATGGGAATAGCTCAGTTTTTGGTTTGAAAACATGCAAAAGGGGGACAGGGCGGTGGTGATGTCACTCTG